TTAAGCAGGTAAGTGACAGACAAATAAGACAGATAAGCACATAAAGGATTACCCCTCCGGCATAATGTCAACAATACCAGCCTCTCGGGCTATATCTCACATCACAATGGGTACCCGCGCTCACTGGGGGTGTGCAGACTCCTGGAGGGGCCCCTTTCGACCCAAGCGCAATATCAAGCCATCTCGTGGCATCATCACTAGGCCTTCGGCCTCATATCAACAAGCCACCTCGTGTCATACAAATCTCAGGCTTTCGGCCTCATAATCATAATCAGTATTTCCTCACAACATAGGCCATCGGCCTTACTCAATCAGAATCTCACAAGCTACTCGGGCAACAGTAAAACATGATGCTCAGCCTAGAATATTATTTAAAATATCATTAAGTGTTAAAATAAAGTAAACATGGCTAAGTTATGAAAACAGTAGAATATAGCATAACTGAGTTCAAGTATAAAGTCAAACAGTGAGGAAATATCAATAAAAATTCCCTAAGGGTTCAAATAGTTGGCACGAGGCCCAAATATGGCATTCAGCCCAAAAATGATGATAGCAAATAGTTTTCAGTCAAATACGCGGTAAAACAATCACTCGGGATGGACTAAGTCACAATCCCCAACAGTGCACGACCTCACGCTCGTCATCTAGCGTGTGTGTCACCTCAATATAGCACAACGATGTGCAATCCGGAGTTTCATATCTTCAGAACATCATTTATAATAATTACTCACCTCAATCCGGTCCAAACTCTAGCCTGCGACGCCTTTACCCCTCGAATCGGCCTCCACTCGCGTCGAATCTATCCAAAATCACAATCACACCGTCGAAATATGCTAAGGGAACGAAGCCCAAGCGAAAATAATCAATTTACAACACAAATCCCGAAATTACCAAAACCCAACTCCCGGACCCACATCTCGGAATTCGATAAAATTATTAATAGGTTCCTTATCTCCCCACGAGTTCATACATACCAAAAGTACCAAAATCCGACCACAAATGATCCCTCAAATCCTCAAGTCTAGGTCTCCAATACCAAGCCCTAGTTTCTCCAATTTTAACCCTTAAATTCCATTAACTATAGCTCTAATCCGTAAAATAATACCATAGCAACGAGTTTTAGGTCCAAAATCATTACCTTAATGAAGCTCCCTTGAAATCCTTCTTCAAAATCTTCCAAAAAGCTCCAAAGCCAACTTAGAAATGGCGGAATAGCTCAAAAATCGCGAAGGAAACAATTTATATGTTCTGGCCCAGGGATTTCGCGTCTGCGGCCCAATTCCCGCTTCTGCGATACCGCATTTGCGGTCCACGAACCGCTTCTGCGGTTTTCACTTAAGTTACCAATATCGCATCTGCGATGCACCAGCCGCACCTGCGCCATCGCAGGTGCGGTTCACCAACCGCTTCTGCGGTCACAGTCTTTCCAGCCTATCTCCGCTTCTGCGACCAATCGTCCGCATATGCGGCGTCGCACCTGCGGTCCCCAATCCGCAGGTGCAGAAACAACAGAAGCAGCAAATCTGCAGCTTCACCAAAATTCCAAACTCCTCCGTCAACCATCCGAAATCACCCCGAGGCCCCCGGGACATCAACCAAAAACACAAACATACCCCATAACCTTATTCAAACTTATACCAACCTTCAAAACACCTCAAACAACATCGAATCAACCAAAACACATCGGATTCAAGCCTAAGTTTCCAAAAATCTTCCGAATTCCGCTTTTGATTAACAACCCAACCAAACCACGCCCGAATGACCTGAAATTTTTCACACACATCTCAAATGACACAACAGAACTATTGCAACTCTCGAAATTCTATTCCGACCCCTATATCAAAATCTCACCTATCAATCAGAAAACGCCAAAAATCCAATTTTGCCAATTCAAGCCTAAATCTACACCGGACCTTCCGATCACGCTCCTAAGTCCCAAATCACCTCCCGGAGCTATCCGAACCATCGAAACTCACATTCGAGCCCTCTAACACATAAGTCAACATCCGTTTGACTTTTCCAACTTAAGCTTCCTCAAAAGAGACTAAGTGTCTCAAACCTTACCAAATCCTTTCCGAACCCGAGTCAACCAACCCGATCACATATAGAACCGATAGACAAAGTAATAAGAAGCAGAAATGAGAAAAACGGAGCGGTAACTCACGAGACGACTGGCCGGATTGTCACACGTGTGTCTTATCAACCAAGTTTTCTATCAAGATCAATGGTGAAGGATATAGGTATTTTGAAGGAAAAAGAGGACTTAGGCAAGGTGATTCCATGTCACCTTGTTGTTTGTCTTACTTATGGAATACCTATCTAGAACCTTATGGAAAATGAGTAAATTTACCATATTTCAAATATCATCCAATTTGCAAGAAGACAAAGCTTACTCACTTAATATTTACTCACTTAGTTGGTGGTGATCACTAATAGGATAAAGAATGCATACTCCTGACAGTTGTCATATGTTGGTAGATTATAAATCATAACTGTTGTGCTGTTTCAATATACAATTTCTGGGGAGCTATTTTTATCTTACCCAAAGTGTGCTAAAAGAGGTTGATAGGAAGAGCAGGGACTACTTGTGGGGGAGTTCAGAGGATAAGAGAAAGATGGCCTTGGCATCTTGGAAAAAGGTGTGTATTCCAAAAAAGTATAGTGGCTTTAATATAAAAAGTTGCAGAGAATGGAACATTGCATCAGTAGGGAAATTGCTATGGCAGTTAGCTGATAAACAGGACATGTTGTGGGTCAAATGGGTGAATGGAATTTATATGAAAGCAAGTGACAACATTGGGAGCACAGTCCACCAACAGACTATAGCTGGTATTAGAAATATTAGAAAAAGTTGAATGCTTTAAAATCAAAAATGCTAAGTTGGTATCATGGAAGAAAGTAGCAACTGACTACAAATGGTGTGTATTCAGTATCCAGGAGTTATAATGCAATGAAGGGGAGCCTAATACGAGTTAAAGAAGATGATCTTATCTGGAGTTCCCTAATACTGCCAAGACAGAGAATCATGGTCTGAATTGCAAGCCAGGAGAAGTTACTTACCAAAAAAAGATTACACAGGCTAAATATACCAATGGATAATGACAATTGCTGCTTATGTAAAGAAGGAATGAGGAAAACTCAACACCATCTGTTTGTTGATTCTAGATGGATTACTAAAGTGAGGAATGCACTTACGACCTGGGCAGGAATACCAATGCAGAAGAGATGAGTGCTGCAATGCATGCAATGGATAAAGAGGAGGCATTGGAGGCGATTGAAAAAAGAGTTAATGGCAGCAAAATGGGGTTCGATGATTTGCTATACACGGCAAGGTAGAAATTGGAAGCTATTCAGGAATACAACTGTAAATACAAGTTTTGTCATTGTACAGATTCAGAAGGAGATAAGAGAAAGGATAGGATTAGTTCAACACTCAAAACGGCAAGTAGATGTCATTTTTTTAGTTCAAAAGCTATGTAATTAGTTTGATGTTTCTTCGATAGTTTTAAGGTCTGGATGTTCATAGAACACTGGTGGCTATAACACTAGATGCTCCTAAGATGTACAAATTTTATTGTTAATGGTAATTTCACAGGTTATTACCAAAAAATTTAAAAATTTAGTTGCGCAATAAAATGAATCAGACTGTAAATTTTGAAATGAACCAATTATTAGATGCCTCTTTTAATGACTTCGCAAGCTTTTTTCTCTCTCTTTTTTTTTCTTTTTATTTAATGTAGACTTCTCAAAGCTTTAAAGCTATTGCCCTAGGTTTATTCTTTTATGCCCAAAATGAGTAGAAGTCGACGTTAGAAATAACAGCACAATAAAACAATATAGGAACACAAAACGAAAAAAGAGGCAAGCTTTTTTCAACCAAAAAAGGATATATTAAGCTTTTGCTTAATTTTGAAGATTTACTTGTGACATATAGATTATGCTCAGCCAATGAGTGATTACAATGAATTCAAGGAGCAACTCAAACAAGGACCATTACGTATATGATCTGAATAGTATCGCTTTAAAATACCATTGCTAGGATGGCAATGGGGCGGTGCGGGTTTGAGTGTTAGTTGTACAGGGAGAGTTTGAGAGTTTGTGGTTGCGAGGCGGAGCGAATTCAGTTTTTAAATTTTCAAAAAAATCATGCGGGGCGGGTCGCGGGTTGGGGATTTTATTTTTTGAACTAATAAACAGTACCAAAAATAGGAGAATGACAACATATAGGAATTTGTACATAGTATCATGTCAATTATCAAAGTTACCAAAGTCTACATACTTTGCTTTGTTTCATCAATAGGAAATACCAGAAATAGCTAAAAACGTAGAACATAACATTTTGATGGTGTTTCTTAAATCATCTTTGTGAAAATTAATGATTAGCAAATATAACAAAATGCTTAGGCTAAAACATACAAAGTGTATCTTTATGCAAAATTTTAAGTGGCAAATTTAAGATGTTGTGCAGATGTTTGTGGCGTCTTTATATAATACAAAAAAAAAACCAAAAAAAAAACAAAAAAAAGAGAGATTTTTTAAAAATAAATAAATGTGGGCGGGGCGGGTGAACACGGGTGGAGTGTGGGTCG